TGCCAGCTGGACCCCAACTGAGGCTGCTCAAATGCAGAGAAACCGTTCCACAGCAGGGCCCACGTGATATACACGCACTGGATCACATTTTCTGCCACTCGCCTTTATTTTACTGAAATTAAGGGTGGTGTTTTGGTTCCAGACAAGTCAACAGTGTATTGCTGCCAAAGTTGAAGCATGCCACTTTTGCCCTTTCTGTAAGGGTTTGAGTGTTTTTTGTTTTTTTTAGTCAGACCTGTGCTGAAAATCCCGTGTTTCAGGTGAACACAATGAAAAACGGGTTTATATTTGGGTAGTTGTCATGATTGTTATTTTAAAAGTCAACATTTACTAAATAGCGATATCTAACATCTTCCTATACTTTATATGGGGAAATGCAGCACCTCATAGTGGCATGATTACAAGCATGTGTGCTCATCACTGCTTTCTGTTTAGCAGCTCTGCTTCCTGCAGTCCCTTTACAGCACCTGATGAAGTAAGCCCTCTGCTTACAAAAGCATATATAGTCTATAAGGGTGCAAATCTGCTCTGCCTTTTGCATGGCTAAAAGCATACTTTTAACTGTACATCAATGTCTGCAGCCTGTTATGTATATGACAAAATTTTAATGAAGCATTGTTTTACTGTGGTAGGAGGTTCTTGCATCTGTGCTACATTGAGGATGTACTGTAATGTAACTGCAGCTTCATTGTATTATTCAAATTAAAAATTAAAGTAAAATATCAGTGCTAATAACTGTCAACAGGAAGCAGTGCTGTCAGAAATGAAATGCAATGTTTTACAGTGATGGGGTGGGATAAAGCACAATATTTGCACTCCTTAAATTTGGACAAGAAGAATCAGTGGAAAGTATAAGACAGTCTTGCACAGCAGATGTTTCACTAGATGACCCAACAAGCCTGCGTCTAATCTCTTATCACTTTATTAGTGTTGACTAAAACTACTACTTTATCTGTTCATTGGAGAAAAAACAGCTGCTTAGATTTGATTATATAAAGACACTTAGTTGTTTAATTATACAAAGCTGTAGGGTGAAGGGGGAGTGAGTTTGTGTGGCATGAGGTCATCTCCTTAATAAAACCATTGACGTTCTGGGAGGATATCAAAGATTTCTCCCGTCCATATCTGGCATCAGTGAAAGTTTTCTTGCTTTCATTGTAGAGGTGTCTAAAATTGCTGGCTAGTCCTTACTGCCTCATTGTTTTAAGTGTACTTTCTCCATAGCATCGTTTGTTCTGCCTGAATTGGCTGGGAGAGCTTTTAGTTACAAGTGTGAAGTGCTTTTTTCTTTTCTTTTCAAGAAGAGAAGTTAAACCTTTCTTTACTGCATTTGGACCATGCTCTTCTCTGATGTGAGCTGTTGTTAACCATGTGATATATATAGCTTTTTCTTCATATAAAGAAGAAAAATGCACTTTATATAAAGATAACAAACAAATGTGGTAGGCGAGTGCAGCCACTGCATATACATATACCTTCAGATATTTCTCAAAATATGGCTGTTAAGATGCCAGTTCAATATATTTTGTTTTACTGCACAATTTTATTGGTCCAAAATTGATTTTGGCATGGTTAAAAAAAAAAAAAAAAAGTCTGAAATATGCATTTTGAATGAGATGGGCTTTTACAAAGTTCCTGATGTTGGATTTTCAGTGCTGAGCTCTGTAACAGCAGCAAGCATTCTGTTTTAATAACAATCACAATAATATTTAGTATTTCTGTAGCATTCTCCATCTGAGGCTCTTACAGAGATGTACAGGCATGAATTATATATCTGTGTAATTCAGAGAGAGATCGCTATAAAACTTATGAGATGGGATATTTAGATGGGAAAGCCTATTAGATAATCTAGTCATGTCCATTCAGTTAGAATTGTGATCCCTGCTTTGCAGATGGATAAACCAAGTCAGAGAGTGAGCAGCCCAAACTTGCAAAAGTGTGCTCTAATATTGGGCACTTCAGCTGTGGATGAGCAAACTGAAATGTCAGTTGATGTCTGGGGACCAAATATTCTTATTAACTTTGGATTGATGAGTGCTTATTACCTATGCACATCAACGGATAGGTATCTTACGTTTGGCTTCCAAAACTGAGGCTCTGAAAAACTAATGGATATTTTTCAAAATGCAGTTCGTACTGCTTAGTCTGCAGAAAGTCTCTGGCAGAACTGGGAGGACCAAAACTTCTTGACTCACATTTGGATGCTCTTAACAGGCTGTCATAGCCTCATAACAGAGTGAGAATAGCTCCCATAGGTCATAAAGAGTGCTGTTTCATTGGTCTCCTTTAATACACCTCTTGCAGTGTCCTAGAGCTGTCCTCTATAGTTAATATGCCAGCCTTGTCAGGACCGCGAGTCTGTGGCTCCCTTGTGTCTGGTAATAGCCCTTTTTGGCACAGCGTGTTGCACTTGGAAGTGGTTTCTGTTGACGTGCTGAGGACATTGGCTCAGGATGAACACATCCCAGCAGCAGGATGCTCAGATAAATTGGTATTTTTTTTTCCTTTTAGTGGTTTGTCAGTTTGCTCAGTTACAGCTCATCCCCGCACCCTCAGCACTCGAAACGTTTGCACGTCTGTAATAAAAAAAAAAAAAAGACTGATGATAAAACACCTTCCCAGGCACTACGTGTCTAATCTTGTCTGAAACCGAGAATCCAACAGGAACATTAACCATCTCTGTTAAATCCTGCTAGATGCTGAGCACTCCAATCCCCGCTGGAAGCAATAGGACATTCACAGTGTCACACTTCTTTATCCGCATCCTCCAGGGATGCTTTGCATTAGACATTGTCTGTGTCTGGGTTAGAATGGGCAATACAGACCGACCCACAGTTATCACTCTCTGATCCACGGGGACATGTTATTGTTAACAACAAGGGAGCGTACCATGTCTGAGTGCAGGGAATCCAGAAGCCAGGATGTCTGTCTGAGGAACCGAGTCAAAGATCCAGAGGGTCGAACAGAGCACGAGGTCAGGAGGCTAGCTGGGTCAGGTATGCAAAGGATCGAGCAAAACTTGGGGTCCATGGGCAAGCCAGGTGAGGTATCCAGCAAGTCTACCAGGAAGCCAGTAGCAGCATGAGCCAAGGGTGCAGCAGACTAGATACAGGATTGAACCTTGTTGCCAGACGTTTCCTCTTGCAGGTCAGGGGCTTATACTGGAAGGGGTGAAGAGTCAGCTCTAGGCTGGCCATTCCAGTGGTAGGGAGTGAGTGGGTATATGGCTAGGCCCAGAGGGAGATGGCAAACTGGGATGAGTAGCTATGCCAGGCAAGCTAGGGCCCCATGTTCAAGGCTGGCACCTGGGCTCCCCCTGCACTGGTAATATAGTGTAATGGGAATCTGATCCCTGATCCCACAGCCATGTCTCCTGCCACGCACAGGTAGCATGGCAGAAACCACAGTTTTTGGGAGTGTGAATCAGATCCCATAGCAGTGTTAGTTGTACATCTGCCAGGGGCTTCATAAACCTAAATAAACTAAATGGTGCGAAATGCCACCTAGGATAAAAACCAGGTGAGAGTGTCCATAGGTAACAGGTTACTGACTTCAGCCCATTGGGGTTTACTGCTTAGATTCATTAAGTACAAAATTCCCTTTAAAAATGCCATCCAGCTGTATTGAGGCAGGGTCTTGCACAGAGAGGTGCTCAGCATGCTTTGAGGTTAGTGGAAGTTGGGATAGAAAGCATCTTCCATGGCTTCTCTACCCAGGTTGTGATGTTGTGGTGGAGCTATGTCATGCAGTGATGCAAGCATTGTCAGGCAAAAAAAAGTTCCTAGTGTAATTGTTGATGATGCAAGCAACACTTTACACCTGGGAAGTGAATCTCTGCTAAGATATTCTTAGCATAGACAAGGGATCAGGAGGAAAGTGGATATAGCTGGTATTTCAGGAAAAAAATCCTAAAAAAGAATCATAGGACAGTGGAACAAGCTGCCCAGGGAAGTTGTAACCTGTTCTTCACTGGAGGTTTTCAAGAAGAGGCTAGATCAGTGATTCAGCTAGGGTGTTGCAGCACCCTGGAGTGCCGTGAGGTTCTTTTAAGGGTGCTTTTGGCATGCCACATGATATTAGAACTGTTAGGTGTGCAAACACGTACATATGCCTTATAAGATAAACCTAAGAGACTTCAAAAAGGAGTCCATAATGTCAGAACTGTTTGGAACTGCTGTGACCTTTTTGAGTACGTTGCAGCAGAAAAATTGTTGTATTATTTTTCTGTAGTCAAAAAAAAATGTGTAAAAGCTCAAGTATGGCATTTTCTGAGTGGGGCCTCAGGTGTAACAAGGTTGAGAACCACTGGGCTGGGTAGACATCCATCTAGGGTGGTTTATCCTGTATCTATGCAGGGGGCTGGACCCCATGAGCCTTAAGGACCCTTCCACCCCTGTGTTTTCACTGGGTCCCCAAGGAGCAGCTGAGCTGGAGGGCCTGTGGGCATATTTGTCAGGTTCTGAAACATTTGTGTGACTTCTGGTGCGGATATGAAACTGTTCGTTCACTCCCTTTCTATAAACGAGCTTCTTCTGTCTGCATACACATCTCTTAAGTACAGAAGGTGGGACAAATTCAGACCAAGTGTCATCGGGTGCAGCTTGGTTCACATCATGTGGACCTGTTCACCTCTTTGTGCAGTTTTCACAGACGTAACTGGCCTCATTTGCCCTGGCCTGTAAGGGAGGGGAATGAGGTCCTGGCTGTTTGTGTGCAGGTATATCAACAAACTTTATACGTGGATTTTCTCCTTTAAAGAGAGCTGCTTTACTGGTTCCTGTTTGGATAATAAGTATGGCTAGATCTGTCTGTGTAAACACAATTCAGAGCTGCTAGAAGAGTAGGAGCTGAATAAATTCTCATTAATGTATGTTGACTTGGGCGGGGGGGGGTTGGGGAAAGGCAAGAAAAATGCAGAGAGGAAGCCTGAGCATGGCTTGGCTTAGATCTTTGCTCTTGTTCTGAACTGAACTTCAGTAACAATTTCTTTGTTTTTGCAGCTTCCGGCCTCTCCTCTTCTCCGTCGACCCCAACACAAGTGACCAAGCAGCCTGCATTTCTCCTTGAATCCTATAAACATGAACCTGAGAGACTAGAAGCCCGGATTCACTGTTCTCCTCCTCCGGATACAGGGCAGAGGTTTTCCCTGCCTCCACCCCAAAGTGCAGCCAAGCCTCCCACAGTGACACCAACTCTCTGTGCTACCTCAAAAATAGTGAGTACTTTTGTAGGGCTCTCTACAGGGGGAGGCTGGGAACTGGGGCAGGAAGCCATGGACAAACTCTTCTTACATGAAGGGTATCCTGGGCCTTCTCCATGCTCTGCTGACAACCCACCAAATATCCAGGAGCAGCTCTTCCTGTAGCTTAAGTGACAGCTGAATGCTGCCATCTTTGTATTTTAATCTAGGATGAGGGTCCCGGTGGTTATAGGTTCCAGTACACAATGCTTCATTTTAACTTGAGATGCCAGCTAAGGCTGGGATAAAATTGTTCAAACTACCCGTCTTTTTACTCCTTCAAGCCAGCTGGCAGGTGAAGAGAACTTATAAACTTTTGGTACAGGTCAATAATTGAGGAAACTATCCATCCATATATGAAGCAGATACCCCACTGTGCAGTCAGCTAGATTGTGAGGTCCTGCCTGAAGCCTGGCCGGATTGGGACAACCGTTGTTTGAAGGCGCCAGTCCACAGCAGGTCTTCTGACTCCACTCCAGAAAAGTAGGGGAGGAAGAACAGAACTGTTGGGATGTGAGCAGCCCCAGGGACCAAGATTTCCTGGTAGCTGTGACTTCCACATACCTAGACATCAGTGAGGTCTGGACAGTCTTTCCTCTCTGCAAACTAGCTCTTGGTTCCATCTCTTTGGCTGGGATGATACGGTTAGAGATAGTCCTGCTCTGAGCAGGGGGTTGGACTAGATTGACCTACTGAGGTCCCTACCAACCCTCATTTTTTATGATTCACTTCCCTCCTTTCCCCCACAGCTATAGTCTCCCCTGCCCCTCATGTACCTCACCGCCCTTTCTTCATCATTTTTTCTTTCCTTTCTCCCTTCTTTCC